GGGGGCTGGGGGGGGGGGTGGAGGCACACTTTAATTAGAACAGCTTCAAGAGCCACTCTAATTAAAGCATCCACTGCATCTGATGTTTTCAGCATCCTGCACTTAAAAATGGCACCAGGGGCTCTAACTAAAGCTCATTCGGGCCATTTTGATGCGTGCACGGGGATGGTGGATACACAAGATGTGGAGGCTGCTGGAATAATTCCAGCACAGTAAGAGCAGCGTCTCCGCACATCTACAAGCACCCAGAGGGGCACTGAATACATCTGTTCATTGTGACAACCCATCCACAAACTTAATTCTCCCTGTCAAGTTATCCCAGTGTTCTCTGCTGTGCCAAACATCACTGTCGTTTTTTAATTTGCATCCCATTGCTAGGGTCCCATGAAATCGATTCCTCAGATGCTGTAAGAGGCCCTATGCTCTCTGACAAATCCCACTTCAGAAAACAGAAAGGTAAGCAGTGCCATGGCTCGACACTTGGCAAGCTTTGGAAGTTTTGGAGACCTTGCAAAACAAATTGTAGGTGCTCAAATGCTGCTGCTTTTCTTTTGTTAGTGTTTTGAGATTTTTCAGTGTTTTGCTTTTTACTCCATGATGGCTGCTGACAATTTGAAAGTATGCTTCTTTGTGGCTTTTCATGCATCTGCTTCACTGATTTCTTCCCCCCACCTTAGTGTAATATATTTGCAGTAATTTTTTTTCTTTTGAAGTTAGCCTGTCATTGCAGTGTAGCAATGTGAGTATGGACAGGGAAAAATAAAACAACACTTTTAGAATGGGCTACCCATTGGTAGGACCGATCTGATTCTTGTAGTGCCCAGAAATATAAGGCTGGTGTATGCACTTGCTGAATGTAGACTAGTAAAAATAAGTAGACTTGGGATTTGAGGTGGATAAACTCAAAAAATATGTCCTTCTCTCCCTTCCCCCCCCCCCAAATGGTTTGCTTCTAATCTCTTGATCTGATGAAATTTTTTGTTCAGGGACAATGGAAAATCAGCAGAATCTGAACAGTGAAAATATGTCTTCTCCCACTCCTAGAAGAAAGTTCCTTTCTCTTGCAACAGTGGTAAGACTCTATTTGCTATGCCAAAGGTTCCCAAACTTTCTTATTGTGTACCCCGTTCCAGATTTGCCAACTGCCTGCATACCCCTACCAGCGTATGTTTTATGTTTTAACCCCTTAAATGTTAATTATTATTTTAATGCAAATTAAATCTTCTATTACACAATTTCTCCCATGTAGCCCCCAGAGATGTCTTGCATATCCCCAGGGGTATGTGTACCACAGTTTGGGAACCCCTGTTCTATGCCACTATTTGCACTATTGCCTGAGTAAGTGAGAGACTGGAGCTGGAGAGCTGCATGCTTCTTCCTGGGAAGGAGCAGGCAGTGAACAGCAGTTCAGATGCTGCTTCTCTTTAGTGTGTGGGGTGTCTCAGAACACCCAGACTCTGTGTACCCAGAAGCATAGGTCTAGGAATAGAATCATAGACAATTTAGTTTGCAGGGGACCTCAGGAGGTCTTGTCCAATCCCCTTGCTTAAAGCAGGACCATCTCCAACTAGATCATCCCAGCCAAGGATTTGTCTAGCCAGGTTCTAAAAACCTCCAGGGATAGAGTGTCTGCAACCTCTCCAGGTAACTTGTTCCAGTATTTTATTACTTTCCCAGTGAGAGGTTTCTTTTCTGAAGATCTGACCTAACTGTCCCTTGCTGCTCCTTGTTCTGTCATCTGCCACTACTGAGAATAGTCTAGCTCCATCTTTTTTGTAACCAACTTTCAGGTTGTTGAAGCCTGCTATGAAATCCCACCTCAGCCTTTCTCTTCTCCAGTTCCTTCAGCCTTTAAATAAGTCCAGTTCCCTCAGCCTCTCTTCACAAGTCATGTGCCTCAGCCCCTAACCATTTTCATTACCCTCTGCCAAACTCTCTCTCTAATTTGTCTACATCCTTTCTGTAGTGGGGGGGACCCAAAACTGGACACAGGTCTCCAGATGTGGCCTCACCAGTGCCAAATACAGGAAGGGAATCACTTTCCGTGATCTGCTGGCAATGCTATTAATGTAGCCTAGTATGCGGTTAGACTTCTTTGCGACAAGGGCACCCTATTGGCTTATATTCAGCTTATTATCCACTGAAACCCCCAGGTCCTTTTCTGTAGAGCTGCTGCTTAGTCAGTTCATTGCCTGGCCTGTAGCAGTGGATGAGATTGTTCTGTCCTGTGTGCAGGACTTTACACTTGTCTTTAAAACACTGGATGAGTTCAGAGGATCAGTTCAAAATAATACCTGAAAATCCACGTGTACTTTTGAAACATTCAGGCAAGCTTAATCTGTTCTAAATTGGTTTGTACAACTACACTTGCAATTTAAACATGCGTTTATAACAGTCTGTTATGCGTGTTCACATCCATTCATGTAAACCAAATTGCTGTACCACAGGGGAGAGAATACGTGATTTTAAGTGCAGGGTTTTTTTTAAACTTGAGCCAGTAAATTAAGTGGTTTTGGCACAGGGAAAGTTCTGAAAACAAGACTTGAGCTTTAGGCTTTCTATATGATGCATGACTCAACTGTCGTAAGGAACTGTATTTATTTTATGCTGGTTCATGCTTGCCAAGTATCTTATTTTTCACATTCACCCCAATAGTTTATTTTGAGCAATGTCCAAAAAACCTTGCAATAGAAAAATCTACCGGAACTTAAAATGGTCTGTGCTTAGTTTTGGTTGCTCAAAGATAAAGATGTGTAATTGTCAAATGCTTTTCTCTGTAGTATAATACTATATGTTCTCCTGCATGCTATCCTATTTAATCATTCCTTATCCTTTTGGCCTAATGATATTTGGCAAAAGGTTTTACAGGTTAATTACTTGATTGGTGTCTTTAGAAAAGTTAGTACTTCAATGCTTTCAGTTTCCATGTTGTTATATTCCATGGAAATTTCCTTGTGCATCATGAAGCTCATTTCAAATATCCTCTCAATCTTGTTTTCCAAAGCCAGTTAGTGGAGTCCTGAGATCTGCAAAGAAGGCTGCCCTTATGAAAGAGCAGAGACAGCAGAAGATGCTAGAGAGAGAGGTATGAGCAAATAACTTAAGAGGGAATGTGGTGGGAGGGAGCATAGTGTGTGTATTTGTTAATGGAATGCCATGTAAGAAACAAAAACTACTGACAGACCTCTTATTTACCATTACATCCGATTTAAATTCAAAGTAGTTGATGAATTGCTGTATATAATTTCCTGAGCAAATGTTTACCAACTCTGAGTAAAAACTACTCGTGGGGCAAATCAACTGAACACTGACTTCAATTTTCTTTGGAGCCTTCTGAGATGCTGCCTCTTGCAACTAGCCTTTCATATAAATGGAAATGAATCCCATGCTGAAATCTCTTCTTTCTAGAGAACTCAAAGGCTTCTAGTCTATGTAATATTCACTTGCTGAGGCTTGAGATCTCTTCAGAATTATTTGGTTAGGCTGGGAGCAGTAAAACATTTCCCATTAATATCAGGCCATATCTGAAACGTTATGAGCAAAGAATGTCCTCCTACCACTTGCTCCAGAAGTGCATTTTGGCCCATGCTGTAGGTTTTGTGCCAAGACTAACTAAATTTTTACTAGGTGAAATAAATTTCACGATCTGGATAGTGAAAACCAAGCTACTGAAGTGTTAAAGGATATACAATCTATTGAGTTTAAAGACAAGTGAAGTGCCTTTAGCTCTGTGTCCTTTACCTGATCTTTCTAACAGTAAAAACGAATACATCTTGGGGGATAATGAGAACAAAACAAGCATAACTGGAAATATTAACTGTGGAAAAAATAACTAAGAAATAACTCATTTTAGATTCGTGGATTAGTGAAAGAACGTGGAGAGCAGGATAAAAAGCTTCTAGCTCTAGAGGAGGATCTCACAAAGATTGAAGCAAAATTGACTGTTGCAGTCCGTGAGAAAACATCTCTCTTGGCTAATGTTGCTTCGCTTGAAAAGCAACTTCTTGAGCTAACAAGAACCAATGAACTACTAAAATCAAAAGTAAGTAGAATAAGTAGCTGCATGGGCAGCTGGTGCTTCCTGAGTCGTGGGGGCACGTGCCCCTGGAGCAGCCAGTCAGAGATAGGGGGTGGGATCCCCCTGCCGCCAATTGCGCTGACTGGGCACACTGCTCATGCTTCCCAGAAGTGCTGGCAGCACTTCTGGCATCCCCACTTGCCAGCTGGCACTCTCAGGGGGGCACCAGCGCTTCCTCCTGTCCTCCCCTTCCCGTCACCTAAACAGGGAGCACTGGCTGTTGGCGGGTTGCACGTGCACCCCCCCTACGCATCACCACTGAGTAGCTGCTTGTTTATATGGCACTGTTGTTTAGATTTAATAAATTCCTGTGCCAGGAATCTGTATCTATATCACAAGCATTGTTAATATGTTTGAGTCTTTTCTGCATGTGGGCCTTATCTCTTAGATGGGGAGTAGAAAGTGGAAGAGTTCACAAACGGAAGCATACATTTGTATGAATGGAGTGTGCTCATCTGTGCTACTACATGGCAACACAGTAGGAATTTTAATAACTTCAACAAAATCAAACAAAGGTCTAGAAAGGACCTTGGTCATCTAGTCTCTTGCGCTGTGCTTAGGCAAGATCAGCTCTACTGAAATATTTGTGGAAGTTGCTTATCTTTCTCCTCTATAGGTAATCTTTTTAAGTTCTTGACTATCTTGGAGAGGACTTCATGATAACAACCTAAATCTTCCTTGTGGCAATTTTTAAGACCATTGCTACTTGTCCTATTCCCATTGCACATGAAGAACAATTTTAAATCCTCCCCTTTGCAGCAAAGTTTTACACATTTAAAGGGAGCTTAATGCAGACTACAAAATTAACTTAACATTTCTATTGTGCTCGCTTATTCACTTGTCCTTGTTTTTCTCATGTACCTTAATCCAGTTATAAGGTTGGGGTATTTTAGGTGTTATTACATCATGTGTTTGTTTTGAGCCTGTGGGGCAGGTGTTATAACAAGTCTGCATTCCAAAAAATGAGATGTCCCATGAATGCTTTTAAAAAATACTTTATTTTTCAACAGGCTGGCAGAGTTCATCATGAAGTAGAGGTGAGGGAGGGCAGGTATAAGGTTACAAAGTAGCAAATGAAATCCTGGCTCCACTGAAATTACTTGAGAAAGTTGCCCTACACTTCAGGATTTATGGAGCTAGGATTTTCACCCACTTTCTTTTAAACCAGTGATTCTCAATCAGTGCCACGGTACCCTGGGCTGCCTTGATCCTTTTGAGGATGCAGTGGGGTGCCACACAATAGTACTGTTAAGTGTGCCCCAGGCCCTTTCTTGGCTGTGTGGCCTAAGGCATGCATGCAGCTGCCACTATGGACCCTAGCCAGGTTTCTGGAGCCTAGCGTAGCTCTTTTGCAGCCTCCCAGGGTCTGGGCAGCTACAGCAGGTGGTGGGCAGGCTTCAGACAGCTGCACCAGAGTCCAAAGCCCTGATACCACCTCTGTGGCACCAGCGGCTGCACACGCATACCCTGGGATGCATAGCCAGGAAGGACCTGTGGCAGTGCAACTCCAGCCTCAGCCTTGCTGCCAGCTTGCAGGTAGGTGTGTATGCATCTGCCACCAGCAATGAGGACTGGACCCCTTGGCTCCCTCACTGTCTGCCTCTGGCATGCCAAGTTAAGATATGGGTAGAGACTGGGATGTTTTTGGCAATCCAGTCAAAAATGTTGCTGACTATAATGAAAGTCACTCATCAGGATTGATTACTTGCTTGTGTTGACTCTGGTTTTAGGAATACTCTGAATTTATTGCTTCAGGTTTAACAGGAAGGTCCATGCTAGCAATGTGGGCTAGCTAAAATCATAGGGAAGTAGCATTCAAAGGGACCTCACAAGGTGATATACTCCTATCAAAGTTCAGTCTGAAAAATGGACTTGGTTAAATATAAAAACTTTCACAGAACTCTCTCATTACATTGCATGACTTAAATGAGAAATACCATAAAAATTTATAACCATATAGCCATTTGCTCATGGCTTGCCCTGTAAAGCAATTGTACTATGTGCTGTTCTTCACTTGCAGCTTAAGCCAGCTTAGGAAAAAGCTAGGAGCCAGAAATGTGTCTAACTATTCTCTTAGTGGGACATCAGTACTAGGGACTACATGCAGAAGAAGACTAATAAACGAACATGTAAATTTGTTTTAATTTTAACTTAAACACTTCCCTGTTATCTCTAATCAAGTTCTCAGAAGATGGTACACAAAAGAAAATGAGCAGCCTTTGCATGGAGTTGATGAAACTCAGGACCAAAATGGATGCAAAGAATAAGGTAAGTTACAGTAATGAAATGGCTGACACTGATCCCTCTTGGAACAAAAAAACAGTGAGACCTGTAGACTAAATGAATTACACATTATTTGAACATGATAGACTTTTGTAACTCCCTTGCAGGAGGAGGTTCCCTACTCTCTTCTATATGGAAATGTAAAACTAACCATATAGAAGAAGTTTAGCTAGCTTCCTAAGATTTTCAATGCAATCTATACCAGAAGCAAGAATGGAATCCCAGTAGTGTAGAGGCTTAGATTTTCTTTGTATTTAGCTACTTCCCAGAATAAGTTGTGCCTGGTGGTTTGACAGATTTTGTCACTTTTTCCATATGTTGCAGGAACTGTTAATGGATGCCTGATGCTTCATAGGCATTTTGAGTTAGAAGTCCTAGTTTGGCACAGCTATAGGCAGTTCTCATTAGTGTTAAATTCTGAATAATGGTGAATTGCATTTGGTGTGAGCTTCTACTGTACCTGAGTAATGTAACTTGCTGGTTACATTTTATGCATGTAAATTCCTTTACATCTATTAATCAATAGGTAATTGTTTTTGTTTTCACTTTTTAAAGAATGTACTTGCAAAGCAGGAAGACATGGAAATGAAGCTACAGGCAGCCCAGAAGAATCTAGAGCAGTCTAAAGGAAAAGTAGCACAGTTGAAAGAAAAGCTGTAAGTATTAAAAAAGATAATTATCTTCAGATTTCACTCAGATTGCTGTTTCTTATATTTAATGGTAGGACTGTAATATGGCAAATGTAAGCAATAAATTGGCATTCAGAAATTGTTCGGGGGGGAAAGATACTTGAACCAGGGAGTTTGACTAGTTGCTAGTAATCGTATTACCTTAATACCAAAAGAGTAGTTGTACAAACTCATAGAGGTGCACTGATACATTGGTCTGATATCGGATCAGCCCTGGTATAAAGAAAACTTACTATATCGGAAATCAGCCATATCAGACCAATGATAATTTGGCTGATAAATGGCCTGTGCATGCGTGCAGCTGCAGCGTAACACTAGCGGCGAGGAACACAGCCTGGCAGCTTAGAGAGCTGCCTCCAACTGGTAAGTCTGGTGTGGTGGAAGGGGATGGAGGAGGGAAGGGGCTGGCGGGCAGATCAAGGCCCCCACAGTGAGGGAGGATGTGGGGCAGGGGCTGGGGAAAGCACTGCCCGGGCAGGTGTGGCACAGCCATGGTTTGGGGGGTGCTGGGAGGAGTCGCTGTGCCTTGCTCGTCTGGGAGCCACTGGTGTGGCAGCTCCCACCACTCATCTGGCGGGTGCGCTTCTCCCAGATCTTTATGGGATGGGCTGGGGCTGTGCCAAGCTCTTCCGGGGGCAGGGGGGGGCTGCTCTGGGAAGCGGTTACAGGGGGAGAAGGGGCAGCAGCCACAA